AACCGTTCAGGGCGAACAGAAATGGCCAGAAAGTAGCTGAAAAAGCCGCTAGAAAAAAATCATTGCATACCCGAAAGGGGATAGCTGAAAAGGCCGAAAGAAAAAAATCATTGCATACTCGAAAGGCGCAACCGTTCAGGGCGGCTGCAAACCCGAAATTCGTATGAAAATGCAGCTGAAGTACCAGGCGAACAGAAATGACCAGGAAGTAACTGAAAATCAGACAATTTAAAAATCTGTTGCACACCCAAACGGGGCAAATTTGGCGGTTAATATTTGAATGTCCCGCGTAACTGCCCCATTTAAATCTGCTGCATAATCGCCATATTTCTGCTGTATCTTTGGCTCCCCTGAGCAAATAGACATATATTAAAGGGTTTTTACTGATTGAGACTATCATTTATTGCGGCTCCTTTCTCAAGGACATACAAATGGCTTAGCCTATGACTTGCAATACAAATTTTTCGGCTGCTACAATAGGAATAATGACAAGCTGAAACTTAATAAATATTTAAACATAGGGAAATTAATAATTGTAATAATAATAATTATGATAATATTAATGATATCAGATGTACAGATTCGTCACTTTATAAGAATTAATAACAAAATTAATAATCATTTGAATAAAAATAGTAAACAACATTTTCCATGAATATATTAACAAATTATGGCTTACTTATAAAACTTAAAAGTGTACAAAAATTATAAAATAAATATCTTTTCAAAATAGGTAAGCTCCTTTTGATATTTTGAGCGTAATTCCAAAGGAAATGTTTATCCTGCAGGGTGCAAAAAAGTTAGCTAAGAACTACCGAAGCGAGAGTTGTGTAAGTTGTGCGGTGTTGAATGATCAACGGTGTGGTAGTAGCAGTTCGTGCAAAAGGTTTGTGGACTTGTTGGTGGTGCTGTTGGTGGTTCATTGTGTCACACAGTCATTGCAGTCGGCAGTGTTGGGTTCGGTGGGCGCCACGCGTGTTTTTCGCTCCGATTTGCTGCGAAACAGCGGCCAGCGCTTGCTCCAGAAGCCGCAGGAGCTGCCGGAGCGGCGCAGCTTCTTGGCCGACTGGCCGACGGCTGGCTGGCTGGCTGGCTCCATGGATGGTGCCAGGATGGTGCCGAGTGTGCCCTGCGTGGTCTGCGGATGCAGCACCAGATCGGTGCGCGCTCGCTGCACTTGCCGCCCATCGTAGTTCTCCACCACAATAATGGGCGTGGCACGCAATCGCTGCGGCACATTGAGGCGAAAGTGCGGCTGCAGCGACTGGCACTGGCGCTGCCTACGATTGCGCCACAGGTGCGTCCTCAGGCTGGGCCAATTGAAGAACTGACGCAGCGAGACCGGACGCTCGGCGTGCAGCAGATCGCGCACCAAATCGGGCGCATCCTGGCTGCCAGCTGCTGGCAGCGCCTCGCAGCTGGCGCTCCTGTTGACATTGTCAGGTCTGTCAAGGTCATGGCTGTTACTGTTGTTGCTGGTGTTGTTGTTGCTGGTGTTGTGGGGTGGCGTGCTGACATAGAATTTGGTTCGAGTGCGAGAGACACGCAAGCTACTGGTCTTCCATGCATCGTGCAGGGTGCGGATGCCGGGCAAGCGGGCGAGCATGTGGATGTGGTCGTAGGAGGCTGACAACATACCTGCGCGCTCATCCTGATATTCATCATCGTCGGAGGACTCTAAGCGGTCCTCCACCAGCGACGTCTGCCGCGACAGACCCTACGTATATTGACGTATGCGTAATGTGTGGCACATGTTGCAAGTTGTGTAAGCGTTTACAGAGAGACGAAGCCAAAACGAAGTCGAACGTAAAAGTTAATACGAAAATAAAACAACAATAGAACAGATACATAATGTACAAGGCGTCTACGTTGAGCCAGCCGCTCGTGAGCTGGCTCGTGCCGGCCCGTGACACGCACTACACACAGACAACGGGGCACAGCTAGCGGGACCTCGACTGGCGCCGCTCAACTTACCGTATTGTGGCGTCTGCGTGGCGGCGAGCGCTTGTTCCACAGCGCCTCCAGCTGATCGAAGTGCTGCGACTGGGCCAAGGCGGCCTGCTCGGGCCCCAGATTGGCCTGGGAGGCGCCCGTCTTGGTCTCGGCTATCTTCGAGATCTCCTCCATGCTGGCGGAGACGCTGAAGCGCCGCTTCAGCCGCTCGTCCACCTGGGCCATCATCACCGACGAGGTCAGGTGGCCGTACTTCTTCTGCCAGGTGTACGTGTCCAGCGAGACTTCCTTCTTCAGCAAGCGCTTCATCTGCCGCTTGGGTCCCTGCGGACGCAAATCTAACAGGAGGAGGAGCAGGAGCAGGAGGAGGCCAATGAGCAGGTTCAAATTGGAATTTCATTTCAATTTCGATTGCCTACCTTCCACATCCTTGCTGGGACCGGAGTAGGTGGGCAGCTTGACATATTGGGCCGGCGTATTGTGCAAGCAGATGACTGGCAAATTGTAGCTATCGACCAGCTGGACGAGCACGCGCGACACCTCCAGGCTGATGTCGAAGTGGGTGAAGGGCACGTGCATCTGCAGCGAGGTGAGCGCCAGGCCGCGCTTCGTCTCCCAGACAATTAGAGTCTTGTCATCGCTGCCCGACACGGCCGTGGAGCCTGCAAAGGGAGGAGTGGGGAGGTGGGAGTGAAGGCATCAGCAAGGGAGTAGAGTGGAGTCCAATCACAGTGCTTACCATCGGCAGACACCTTGACGCCAATGACAGCGCCCAAATGGCCAGCGAGCGTGTGCACCTCCTCGCCGGTGAGCAGATCCCATATGATTAGGTTCATGTCCTTGGAGCCAGAGATGACTTGCGTCTTGTTGGTCACCGAGACGGCAACGCAGGTGACCGCATCGCTGTGCCCGACGAGCACCTGGCTCAGCTTGCCGCCCATCGACTGCCAGACCTTGAGCGACATATCCCTCGATCCGGTGATAATGTGCATACTGTCCGCGCTGATCTCGAAGCAGGTGATCTCGTCCGAGTGCGAGACGGAGTACTTCTCGTCCTCCTGCGTGAGGGACCAGATCTTGAGCGTGTTGTCGCCATTGCTGGAGACAGCGAACCGCATGTTGTTGGTGGCCGCCAGATTCTTGTAGGGGCCCTGTATGGTCTGCAGCAGATTGCCCGAGTCGGCCATCCAGACGAGCATCGTGGACTCGCGGTCCGTGGAGATGACCCGCAGCGAATCCATCAGCACGACCAGCTGCATGACGGGCGCCGCATGGCCCTTGAACGTGTGACTGATCTCGGCCAGCGCCAAGCTCCACACTTGGACCAAACGATCATCGCCGCCGGTGGCCAGGAATTCGCCATTGGGCGCAAACTTCAGGCAGTTCACCACGCAGGTGTGCCCCTCCAGGGTGTTCTGGTACTCCGGCGTATTGATGCGCATCAGGTGCACACTCCGGCCGGAGGCGATGGCCACCTGCTGTGAGTCGCGCGACAAGTCGAAGCAAGTGATGGGCGGCAGCGTCGTCGAGGGCGAGCGCTGCGCCTGGTTGTGGCGCTTGAGGCTGCGCTTGCGACGCGGATGCCTCGAGTACGGGTTCACATAGAGCTCCTCGTTGCGGAACGAATAGAACGTGATCTTGTTGCCGCCCACGGTGATCACGAAGTCGTCGTTGTCCATGGCATAGACGGCGGTGACCGGGCCCGGATTCGGCGGCATCGAGCGCACCAATTTGCCCGAGTGCATGTCATAGATGAGGGCGCGCGTGTCCTCGCACCCCACCACGCACCGCTGGCTGTCCTTGCCAATGCAGATGCTGCGGACCTGATAGATATAGATATATAGATATAGATATAGATATAGTTATAGATATAGATATAGATATAGATATAGATATAGATATAGATATAGATATAGATA